CTTTTTAACAATTGTGTATATGTATGTACCTTTTGTTTAGATATCCATGTGAAGTTCGCGTTAGATCAGTACCTCTTCAGCCTTGCAGACGTCATGGTAAGAAAAGGAAAGAAGAAGAACCTGATATTCAGACTAATAAGAAGGATACAGTTAAGATCATGGCGGAAAAAATGGCAGATTCCGGGCGTTCGCCAGGTCACGTGGATTCTTGTAAGCCACAGTCACAATTAACTTTGGAGATGACGCCCATGTTCGAGGGAATTGACGCTCAATTGCAGAGCTCTCAGGTATCATCTACAGTCTTAGATAGTCCAGTATCTATGTATCAAGGATGGGGAACGTATCAAAGTGAGCAACAGTGGAATCGGAATGGCTGGCTAGAACAGCGTAAAGGCAACTGGCTGAATCCATGGGGAGAGTATCCTTCGTTTGGTGGTTTAGAAAGAGATATTAAAGTAGATCCAGATAGTACCAGTTTGGATGATATTAGGCCTAGGAGTACTGTTTCTCAAGAAGAGGCCCATCGACCAGGTTCCAGAAATCTACCTAACTCTACAATGGATTCAGCCAGAGGATGTTATGGAAATTCACCTAGAAGTCATCCTGTTTCGCCTCGTTCGCATATGAATGTAACGGGAGAGGTATCCTATGGCGCATCACACAGATGTACCATGACGTCTCAAGATCCAAAGATGATCCCGTCAAAAATGTTGGAACATTCGACTATAGAAAATAATTACGATTATCAAATGGCTTCCGGTATGTACGCTGCTTCTATCAACGGGCAAAATGATTGTTCTTCCTCAAAAATTGGCTCTTTCAATTCATCGCTTGGAATGGAGATCGCACATCGGAACACTCCATCTAAAATGAATCAACCAATTCACGCACGCAATACGGGACAAGATTATATCAACAATCAACTGAGATTACCGTCTCCTAAATATACTGGAGATTTTAGTCTACAGAAATACCCGGATGGGATGACACAAAATTATATAGATGCTGAAAACTGTATGAAATCACCATTATTGAGATCACAATCTGAGCAAATAATTACAAATAAAATGCAACATTTTTCTCCATCGAAACAAATACAATCATCCATCCAAAATTCTGGTCATCACAATCAATATTGTGATGGCAATACTTCAAATATATTTTCTTGCATAGACAATAATAAATCTATGGAGGCTCTGAACTCAGGTGTTTTGGGGCATAATTCGTTGCATTTGCCAGAACAGCGAAACGATGCGCAATTCTCATCAAATGATCAGCGAAAATTTACTTATCATGCGCAAAGACAATTGGAACCGAAGCCCTTCATGGGTAGTTACCCTCCATCTTCGTCTTCCGATCAAGTTTCTTGCCCGCAGAATTGGAATATGGCGAATTCGTGGTGTCCTAATCAAATTAAAAATTCACAACAATTCAACGATCAACAAATAAATGATAAAAAAATCTGGATCGGCAAAACTCAAACAAGACCGGACCAAACTAAAACTGCTGCTTGGGAAACACCGTCTGAACCGTCACCATTCCGAGTGCCAAGAGGAAGACCACCTTCGCGAACGATATCCAACCAGAATCCTTCTGCGGAACCCAATGCATATCCAAATTCTTTAACCAGAACATTCTTGAAACCTCCAGAATCTAAACCAACTTTCCCAGATGCTAGCAATTCGGCCCAAAACGGATTTGTATCTAATCAATTAAAAGATAGTTGCACGGAAGATAAATTACGAGACGGATTTTATGACAACAAGCAAGACATGTCCAATTCCAATCCGAATTCTTTAGCATGGACTGAAGAGGTGAAACAGGATTTCCATATGTCTGGTTTGGGTCATCATACTTTTCCTCAATACGGATATCCGACTTATCCGGTATTTGAAAAATCTTACGCAAACTCATGGGAAGGTTATAACTATGGTCATCATCAATCGTATCAGCCTCCGGAACAATTCTACCAGCAACCAAAGCGCGAAGGTTGCTTCCACTCTTCTCAATATCCGTATCAGGGCCTGAATCCAACGTATCAAGGCTTGAATTCTACTTGGACGAGATGGGATACGCCACGATGGGATATTTACGGGCCACCACCTTATTTCCCGGTTCTACCAGAGCCTCCTCCGAAGGCAGAGCCACTCGGAGAAATAACAGATTATTCCGAGAACGAGGAATGCTTCAAGGATCCACAAATGGGTGGTGTCGCGATCGCTCTTAGTCATGGTAGTGTACTTTTCGAGTGCGCAAAACACGAGATGCACGCCACTACTGCATTAAGAAAGCCCAATCGACTCAATCCGACTAGGATTAGCTTGGTATTCTATCAACATCGCAATCTAAATAGACCCAGACATGGTTGGGATGAGTGGGAGGAAAAGATGCGACTGCGAAAATTGGGTATTACGACATCGACCAGCGGTTCATCCGTGTCAACCAACTCCTCCTCGACTCCAACCACCGCGACAAGTCCCGGTAGTACGACGAACGAGAAAACGATGCCACTTCCACCACTTTCGCACATTCCAAATGTTCCTAGCTCACAGTTCATGATGAGATCACCTACTTATACCACGATGACTTGGACGACGCTCTTTCCGATGCACCCGTGCATGATAACTGGACCGTATCAAGAAGGCGGTGCAATTGGATGAGTCGAGGTCGGACGGTACAGCTTCGATCGTCGATGACCGAAGCTTGTATCGAGATATGCCATCACCAAAAATTAAATCGTCCGAGGGATCCGAGATGTAAGATCCTGAGGAAGAATCGCGACGAATCCGATCAAGGATGAAATAACGAGACGGCGATTTTACCACGAGAGGCTTTATATTGTTATTATCGTTATAGTTAGTTATTCCGAAAAACGAGAAACACACACTTTGCACTGCCATTTTTCTATTTCGAGTTTTACGCAAGATTTAAACATAGCAACAAAAACGTGCTTGAAGAAAGTCTCGCCGGGTGTGATCGCATCACCCTTCGTCGGGGCTCGCGTTTTATACTGACTTTTTACTGAGTTGAACTCGAAAGAAGTTCTCGGTAATCGAGGCTACAAAATCGAGACAATGATGATTGATCGAGGCTATTGACGTATCAGGAAAGCTGCGCCTTGCGAAGACTTTGATACGAACATTTTCGTATTCTCTGACCCTGTACACTTTAAGTAATATCGCTACATATAACGATTTCGTGTTGGTAGAATTGTAATCTTACTAGCTAGTCGAAGTCTAGATGATGAATCACGCGATGTCACACGTACACATAAAAGCACACATTAAACGTACATGCACACTCCAAGGTATCCAAGGAAAACTTGCACGACGTGATCTCAGAATTATCGCACCTTTCCAAGACTTCGTGAAAAAAATAGAAGAAAAAAAATCGAACAACTGCATACTGGGCTATGTAAGCACCCGTATAGATGTATACCGATTATTCGAATTAAGTACAATAGAAGCCTTAGGCGTGATGTCATTTTATACTTACATTTTTTATATATTATATAATTATAACATTATTTATATATCTCATATATAATGTCGTTTAATTAATATTATATCTCATAATGTTTTAATTAAATTAGTGTCATAATATTTTATCAATCAACGACGATATTTCTGATATCGATAATGCTCTAATTAAAATTCGAATCCGACGCTTTCGAGTTGTAATAAATCTTCTTTTCGAATCTATCGAAGTCAAGAGGAAGGGGGCCGATAGTTTCGAGTAACGTCTTTTTTTTTTTTTTTGTATTCGTTTGTAGTCGAACAATTTTTCGCCAAGGTCAAAGCACAATCCTAAAGACGACGACACACGACACAATGATCTCAAATCTTTAAATTAATTAAATGATATGTAATGTATATCTTTGATTTCTAGCCTTTGTATATTTCGCTTCTTATTCTCGTATTTATTTACGTGTTTGTACTCATAGCTAAGTACTAAGTACAGTTAATTCAAGTGGCATGCGATATAATACTAACCATGCGTCCTTCGGGTCGGCTGAGTACAAAGCATTTATCTAACAATCACATGACGTGTAGGTAGGGGTGTATCTAACGGTCGGCGGTATGTGCTGGATACGCCAGGTGTTGTCTTCGTCAACTTGACGTTCTTCCCTTACTACTTATTCCACCTCGAGATCTTTTCTATTCAAACCGGCGAAAAATTACACTTAGTCAGTAAAGTGTAACTTTACGCTGGCTTGTCGTTCGCAGTAAAATTTATTCAAGAAAATTTAACAAATGTATCAGGATGATGACGGTGCAGTTAGTTTTTCGTATTCAAAAGATTAATTCAATTCAATTCAAAAGATTAATAGTTTTTCAATATATTTGATCTCTTATCACGACAAAAGAGATAAAAATGGCGAGAAATTGATTCATTGATTCATCGAAAAGGAATTCGATCGAGTTTTCCGAGATTTTTGGGCGTTGTTATTGAAAATAAGCAAAAGGATTTTGATTTGTGATTTTATAGTCATCTTCTTTATTGTCCTCAATTTTATTTGTATATATTAATCGTTTTTTAATCTAAGCCTGTTGCGCACGACAAAATTAAGACCAAGGCGAAAGGTTTGCTGATGATTCTTCGAGATCCAGGATCTGGATCCGGTTACGGTTTGTAGTGATATACGGCTAGCTTTTTAAAACACCTATTGTCATAAAGAATTGTTTGAATATCGGTGGGATTGTTGTCTCTTTACCTCCAGCAGCAAACTAAAATAAATTTTTATACTGCCGCGATTAGACTTCCCGCTGCTTGTGATTAATGTGGCGAAAGCAAATCGCCTTGATATAACAGTCGTATTGAGAAATATAATGTAAGCATATCCAGGCTCTTTCGCTTCCGAGATAGAAATTTTCAGATCTTCAGATCTAATCTCCCGTTATGTTCTTGTTAAATTGTCGATATTTCTATATTCCCTTTCTATATTCCCGTTAACTGATCTCTCTAATAGTCTTGACGATGTCTCTTTTATGTCTTTCTCGTTTGACGATGGCTTTTATGCTTTCTACATTTTTATGCTATTGAAACTTGAATCTTTTTCAGAAGAAGAACAGATGTGCAAAAGGACTCCCTTTCGTTTATCATATCCTTTGTCGAGAGTCTGGAATGTCGCGTGGGGATACTTTGCATACCACCGAGCCAAGAGCGTGAAAGATTGATCCTTGAGTAAGGATCGGGTCGATAAATAAAATGGTGAAACTTTCCAAGAAGCAGTTTTCGCTACTGGATAATTCATCGAGTACGTTCAGCGACGGCAGAGTTGCAACGTAGCTACGTAATAAGCTACCCTGTCGCGGAAGGATCGACCAGGGAAAAGTACGCTCGAAACGCTACGAGCGGCGAAACGTTCAGCAGGATTAGTAGCCGAGAAGCTCCACTTATTTATTTATTTACGCTACGACGACGTCTGTTCGCGACATCCCTTAAATAGGCGTAGCACGATTTTTAAGGCGCAAAATTTTGTATTTTAGCTCATAACGAGGAGTAATTCGGAGGCGGGCTTTTGATTTTAGGCTCGCGTTCACCGAGTCGAGTCCTACCCTTTCCTTTTGCATTTGCGTCCACAAGTCGGTGGAATGAAAAAAGAAAGAAGCAAGACGCGACCAACCCTCGCCTACTGGAGTATTATAGGAATCATTAATATATTATCATTCATTAGTTATCGCATGTAATAGTAATAGTGATAATAATAGTAATAATAATATCGGCAACAGTAATAACTAGTAATATAATCTAATTTAATGTATATTATATATTTATTAATTAAGTTTGAGAACACATGTGGTGTACCGTTGTACCGTTTTTTTCTATTTTCGACGAGCTGGCGGCTCGACTTTAGGTTGAGATTATCTGACTTTTCCCGTGCACCGGTCGATCGATGTTTTTTCTTATTAACACGAAAGAATTCCAATATCGCCACGTCGATTTTGCTCGAATTGCTCGAAACGGCCTCACAAATTTCAATCGGCGGGGATAAAAAAAAGTAATTAATCGACTATCCCTCCTTTTTTTTTTTGTTTTTATTTTTTCTTCTTCTGTCGCGTCGTCTCGCTTTGTGCGGTTCGCGGTTTCACTCGGAGTTTTAAAAAGAAAAAAGAAAAGGAAATAAAAGGGGAATCTTCGCGGTCGCGATCGAGTGAGCGATTCGTTAAGGAAAATCATGCTCCCCGACGGGGACGTGCGGGAATGTCGCGATGCGTCTCATATTTAAAAATTCAATCCAAGTCGCTAAGTCCATCCCCTCTAAAGGAAGATAAAGAACGATGGAAATAACGCGTCTCTGTTCTCGCTAAGCTGAGTTCGCCACTAGCTTCTTCTCTTCACGTGATAGAAATGCGGAAATATATACGGTAACGGCAAACGGGAACAATTTTTTTCAAGCGCGAACACTCGTTTTCTTTCGCTTCGCACGCATACACCGATCCATCTTCTAGATAACAACAAAGGCGGCAATGAGAGTACAATGTAGAATAGGCATCGGGCCCCCGATGGCTTTTTCTCTTCTTTCCTTTTTTTTCTCTCTTATTATACGCGGTAAGATGCTATCCTCCACTTCGTATTCCGCAGAAATGACAATACAATAAGCGCCGATATCTAGTATCGAGTGGGAGTCGTTTTTTTTCGGAGCCAGCGGGTGTCGCGGGACCTTGGGAGGGTGCCACCCACCCTCTCCCCCTTCCGGTTTCACGTCGCAACTTGGATCGTGTTCTCGAAATTGCGACGAGGAAAACTACGAACGAGTCCTCGCGACGCCCGATGCACCCCGCGCGCGACCGCGAAAGGAAAATCAAAATTCCACGTCGACTTCGGAAAACAAATGTACATTTACTGTTATAGCCACGTAACGAAACACATCTCGAAACACCATTTGTACTTGATAACTTCCAGCCGTTCTAACAAAGTATACCGAGAAAAATCGTTGTTCTTGCTGAGAAACAGACAAAAGAAAAGAAACTTTTTTAGAAACTCGGAAATTATACAGTTCGACGATGCCAAAATAGTATTAAACGATTATAAGAGGGGCGTTTGTAATAACAATAATCGATGTTCACGGAGGACGAAGTAACGGATTGTCCGAAGTACAGGTTGATATCCGCAACGACAGTTCGGTTCGAGCGGTTTTATATCTCGATTGCTGATGCAAATCTGAAGTTAAAAATGAAGCTAAAAGCGTTTCCCAGATATAAAATTAATATTCTTGATAAAAAAAAAAGTTTCGCTCAATAAAAACGGCAGGTCGAGACACTTGGACGAGATTCTTCGGGACGGCGAATCGTTGCGTAGATCCCTGTATAAGGAAGAAAAAGAAATCCGAAATCTGATCAACAGAAGGATTAGCAAAAAAGAGGGGGAGGGAGGGGATGAGAGGGGGTTACGATCGAGGGTAGAACGACGGCGGGTTAAAGAAAGAAATAAACGTTGAAGAGTGTATTTTTTCTTCCAATGCCAAAAAAGATGCCATTTTGTTTGTACGAAAAAA